TAAAATTTATATAACTTGAATCAAATCAAATTGAAAGATTTTATAAAATAAATTTGACTCGACTCAACTCAAAAAAAGAGAGTCGAATAGAGTTGATCTTTAAACTCAACTCAACTCGACTCATTCAGAACTCTAATCTTTCATTAGTTTTAACAAAATAGTTTATAACATTTTAACAAGTAATATTACTTTTACATCTAAGCTACTTGGTATTCTTTTTTTAATTCTAACTATATCTCAAAAAAAAAAGTAATTTTAGAATCTGTATTCATTTTTTTGTTAAAGTCAATTTGGATCAAAATAATATATAATGTAGATTTTCTATATAAAGCTAATAATTTATCAATTAATTTTTAATTTCAAAGATTTAATAATATATATAACTCTTTAATTAAAAAAAATTGATTTGTTTTAGATTGCCAAAAAACTTGTATTTATCAATCTTAAAATTTATCACATTTTTCACAAGTCTATTCTTATAGATACTAGTAATGCATGTTTTCTTTATAATAAATCTCTTAATGATAGATTATTCTTAAATTCCTTTATATAATAAATTTAAATTGAATTTATGAATACATTCATTCTGCCTTTTAAAGAGATAATTGGTTATACAATTCTATACAAATTCTTAGATATAATAATAATGGCTATGTTTCTTAATGTAGAAGAACTGATAATTATAATCATCAACATCAAAGCTATATGGAGGATAATCATTTGTTAGGAAAGATGACATCAATATGATGTAACTATGTACAAATTAAAGATACATACAATTCTCATTTCTTTTGCTATAAATTCTGAAAATTTCGTCATTGACTCAATAGTTGATCCCATGCATTTTCGAAATCTTAAAAACTTCTTTGAGAAATAGAAGAAAGCTCAAGAAGAATGGATTATTGCCATAATATATTCAATTCTTTTCTTTTGCTTATCATTCATTGATGGCAAATTGGAATCATTTTCTTCCACCATTGTGTCATCTCTTCCTAAAGTAAATATTATATTAATACACAAACATCCAAGCATAGAGCATTTAATATAATATTACCTCATCAAATCCTCCCATAAAGTGTGATCTTTTTTTCGTTAGTCTGCTTTCGCATAAGATGTAACACTGTTTTGTTGTTCACTGACGAACTCCTAATACAATAATTTGTCGAGGTCATTTTATTGAGTATCTCTTTAATAAAACTCTTTCGTCTTTCGACAACTTCAGTTTTATCATCCAGATCCAAAGCATTTTATTTGGTCTATAATAAAATATAACAGTCCTGATGAATTACAGAACATTATGATATCATCAGTTGTTTCACTGGCATAAATTTATCACTATTAGCGTAGGCGAGTAACAAAGCAAACTTAATGAAATTTCTGGGTTATTAGCTAATTCACGATAATCGGGAAGAAATACTACACACTTTCCGGTTCGAAGAAGAAAGCATGTAATTGTTGCAAGAATAAATGATTCTTCATATCCAATAGTTTCATAAATGAAGCAATCTATATAAACGTTCTCTTTAAGTTCGTTAATATAGTTTAAACACTGCTGAATTCCTTCCTTCCCAAATAGGAAAACCATTTAGGAAAAGTTACATCATTATCGATAGCAAATCTCTCTACTGGTTTTCTTTTGCCGAGGAATGGGAACAGTAATGAAAAAGAACTTTTTGGGTTTGAATAAACGTTAGAATCGTTGATAAGTTTCATTATATCTTCCATGATTTTTGTATCTTTAGCTCTGGTACTAAGAAATAATTGTGTTAAAATGATTGACCTAGAAATTACAAGATATTATAAACGCATCTGTTATTTTACCTTTTTTTCAGTCTCGGTTTTCATTCTACTCAAAAACCCAATTTTCTTTTCCCTAATCAAATAAAAATATATATAATATGAGATAACTGCAAATTCCCCTGTTCAAAGAGGATGTTTGGTAAATATGACAGCGCTATCTAAAGGGTTAGCGCGCCACGTTTGTTTTGACCAATCATTACGACGCAAATTGGGTTAGATTATCGAAAAAAGTTAGTAGCGTCCCAACGGCAAATTTTTATCTATTATGATTCACGTAATAAAGATCAAAAAAAGTTTTATCTTTACTAATAGAAGTGTATTAAGGAATGCCTTAATTTCTTCATCATTTCCTTCGAAATATTCAAGTCGGTTCTTCATATCCATCCTTAGAAGTTGACCTTTGATTGTACCACGCATCTTGTGGTCAGTGAAAAGGTTTTCTTAATTTCGAGTTCTTCCACTTGTTATCCATTACCATTATCTGTTATTATTAAAAGACAAAAATTTTTTTTTTTAGATAGATAGTTTCAAGAAATAAGTATAATGAAAGCCGAATTTCTGGAGAGAGATTGAGTTTTACCGTATATTAGACTTATTGACTATATATATACAGTATATATGATTCGGAATAAACTTTTATTAAACTGTGAACGCCGTTGTAAGTACATTGATTGAGAACGCGTTTTGTAAGTCCGAACTCAACCGGTTGATAAAAAACTTTTTTTTTGACTTAACAATACCTAATATCATTACAAAATTCGAGTCATCGTGAAATATTTTGAATATATAACATATAATTTTTTTCCGATGTCACATAAACTTTATTAATAATTTCATATTCAGCAGTAGAGAAGCGAATGAAATGCGTGATGCTATCAAAGGGGAGTACGCGGATCCTAGGCCATATAATGCGAGTCCCAGCATCATATTTATTTCATTGCTCCCTGAATAATTTCTATAGCCAATTTATTTCACGCCGTTTTCTACAAACACGAAATAAACTATATTTACAAACTTTCCCACCCGCACAGATTATGAAAAAAGTTTCTATTTAAGATTAAATAATTTCAATACTATAAGAAGTATTCCGAAGATTAATAATGGCCTTTCCAAGTCATATAATATTTCCGATTCATACTTACTAATATACTTCATTTCACAACATTCTATCCGCCTCATATACAAGGAATTGATTGCTTAATTTTTTTCTACAAGTTTCTAGAATTCGGCACGTGAAAATGCTTATGAATTCGAATTTGGTGAACGGCGTTAAAAATTTAAAATTTTTTTTTTTAAAAAAATTTTCTTATATTTTGGGATCCAATATATAAATTTTATCCTTTTTTATTTTTTATTTTTTTTTTGGTGCAATTATGAATTTGTACATTTTTTTGACGAGCTAAATTTTCGAATTTGGTTATTTTATACATTTTTTTTTGTGCGAACCTAACAATTTGTAATTCGAATTTAGTTAAAATGTACAGTTTATTGTATAATTAGCTTAATATTTTTAAATAAAAATCAAAGGAAGAAATCTTTTTTTTTGTTATAATATAAAATTAATCGCAATTCGGTTTTTCGGTTTTATTACAACAGTTTTATTTAAATCCGGGTCTCAATTTAAAAACCGGGCTTTGTAAATAAAACCGATTCCAACCTCTAAGTAAAATCTGATTCACTCTTGTTTATAAAATAATTAATAATAAAAAAAAATACATTCTACGATTTCATTTTTTTTTTTTAATTATAATTTGCCAGAATTACGGTTTCCGAACGAAGCATAATTTTTTCAACGCGAACTTTATAATTATGTATTGACACGTATTTCTATGCACTGACACATTTTATAATATTATTAATGAATTTTTTTTTTTTTACTATATTTCAATTATTCATTTCAAATATTTAGAAAATTTCACGTAAAAAAAAAATAATTTCCAAGTAAAAATTTTCATACTTTATTGTTAAATTAAAAAGTATAAACAGGGAACGCATAACACAACTAAAAGAAAAATATAGTTGTTCACTACTAGATAATAATACTAGTATCCAAGTTACATGAAGAGGACATCAGTACTAAACACAACCCAAAAAATATGGAGCTCCTCAACTGAGAGAGCCTTTGGGTTTCTATCTAATGCCTTTATTTTTTTTTTATATATTTTATATTTTACTTTTTATACCCCTCTTTCATGTCCCAAGATTTCCTTCTTGATGGTTTAATACCCAGTTCTGTCCTTCTAGACGTGAATAACCAGTACTCTGTTCTGGAGTTTGATAACCAGTTTCTTTCTGGTCGAAGTTCTCTGCTGAAAAGAAAAATGTATAATCAGAATCACGTACAGTTCCGGTAGACCTTTTGTAGTTGTTTTCTAAAGAACTTCATTTTTTTATAAGTGGTTGAAGAAGGGGACACAAAAACAGATGTGTTTGTGAAAACTGTGTTCGCGAAAGGAAACATATATTTACACATATAACAAGACAATTACTAAATTTAGCAATAAAATACATGACAGATCATTATTTGCAGATCACGTGAAATTGGTTACGCATTTTAATCTCACAAACAAAAAAAATTATTAGATCTAACATCTTATTTTAAAAGGTGAAACACAAAACGTTAGCTTATTTTTTTGGTTCATCGCGGTCTACTAACAAGATATATTTCACTTAATAAGTATATTATAGAATCTTATCGGCAAACATCGAAACTTAAACCTCTAAATTTTATTACGACATTATTATAATTCTAGCCTGAGAGATGGCTTATTTTCTTTCACCCTTAAAATAAATTTCAGTTTTTTATTTTTCTCACCTAAAATATATTTCACTTATTTTTTTTTTCTCATTGACAATTTTTTCCTAAATTGGGCTCAAATTTCTCAAGAAGAAAGGATGAATCAGTTCGAACCTCGCAACTGTCTGAAGAACTATACAATTAGAATATGATTATCGATCTTCAGAGAGAAAGAATATAAGAATGCCAAAATTTTATTTGTTGAAGAAAGAATATTACAAACAAAGTATAAAGGCTGATCGTTTAAAACGGTTCAGGAAAAATCCCCTAGAGAGAAAATTTCTCAAGAAAGTGTATATATCTCATTGTAATGTTCTTTCTTATCTTATGAAATTTTATTTCATGATATATTTATCCGATGTAAAATACCGGGTTTAGTATTTTTCAGTCCATAATATGTGATATAAAATAATTGTTTTATATTTAGATACTTCAACAATTTTATAATTAATTTTATTTGAAAATATTGGGATCTTCAGATAAAATAAGTTTTTTTTGAAGATCTTCTAATAAAATTTCCTTTGTTTGTGAAAGTTTCAGAGAAGAGTCCATCTAGTACATTATCTTTTTTAAATTATACTGTAAATATTACAAGTGCATACTTTAACCATTGGTAAAAAATTTTTCTCTTTAGTGTATACTGTTGAAGCTATCAAGTTTGTCATTACGATTCTGGTTAGTCTTATGCATTAATATTTTCAAATTTATCTATAATTAATAAACAAATGATTAATGATATAGTTACTTATAGATTAGTCCTTTACTTTTTTATTTTTTTTGTTCACCTTTATAGGATAACTTAAACACATTTATATATATTTACTTTACATTAAGAAATCATGGATAGTTGAAGAACTATCTGTATAAAAATTGTCTCAAACTGAGATAAATACACAATTCAAGCTCGAAGGACTGAAATCATTTCAGAACATATTGAAAAGGCCAAAATATGAGTTTCTAGTAGGATAAACAGATCATAAATAAAGGTACATAAATTTAGATATAGGGTGCAAGTTCATATTGATAACAGGATGATTTCCATGAAAATAGAATTAGCTAAGAAATGTGTAACAAATCACCTGTTAAATGAACTGGATTCAAAAAGGAATAACACTCAAGCATGATATCTTAAAAATCAAATAAAGCCTTAAAGAGAAAGTAGGCATAAAAGTTTTATTGTAAGTTTTAATAGAATAACTTTAATGCAATTCTTGGTTAGAGTAACAAAATATTCAAATGAAAAAGCTTTTATGCAAATAGTAATTGTAATATAAAAAGTTCAGTTTCAATAGTAACATTTTATATCTTATTCTTTCATTATTATTCCTATGCTTAGAAGTGAATATAATCACTTTAAATGAACTTGATAAAATCCTGAAAGAGTTGTTTTTATTTTGAACAATTGTAAAAATACAATAAAATATGTTTTACCATAAATATAATATTTATTAGAAAAGCTTAACAATTTACGTTAGGTCTTATTCATTTTTAATATTTCTTAAAAAATTACAAAAAGGTTTATTTTATTTTCTAATTGATCAATGTAAATAAGAAAATCCTATAAAATAATTCGTAACTTAAAGAATAAGAGTTAGCCCTGAGAATTGAATCATTGAAGCTCAAATTTAAAGGTTTTGAAAATGATCTATCTTCTTAGAAATTTGATGAAACTTTCATCTCATTAGATTTGATTTAATGGTCGATTAACAATCAATTTAGAACTGATTATCTAAAAAATATAGCATTGTAATGGTAATTGATATTGACTATTCAGTATTCTTAATGTGAAAGTAAAAAATTAACCAAATGTAAAATAACTGTGAAAGAAAACATAATTCTCTTTAGGTAGCCAAATGCCTCATCATTTAATAGATAATGCATATAAAAGGATTAATGAGATTATTACTGTTTCTATTTATAGTCTATGAATAAGCTTGACAAAATCAAAGGGAAAGAAGATCTTATTATTGAGCTTGAATTTAGTAAATTAGTGAAATATCACAACTTTTATTATTTCTTTACTTATATAATAAAGTTTAATATTATTATCACGAATTAACAATTCATATTATAAACATTGACTGGCATAATATATCTAAAAAGATGTATTTTCTATCATAAGCATTAT